TTGAATCCAGGAAGCGTGTTTCATTCTGTTTGATGAATCCCGAAATGGGACGAAACGCGCGTCCTAGATTTCATTATTAGTCGATTACATATATTCTATACAAACCTGTATCTTCGTGGCTATCAGTATATAATGCACATATGCCGACCAAGACTGATCGAATTTCAGTCAACTTATCGATAACAGGTTAATCCAAACGATTGCACATGCAGTAAATTATATAATGTTTTATCACAGTTTTCATAATAATCCATTATTAATCCTACTGATTTTCTTGAATTCACAGAATAGTTAGACATATAATTGTAATCTTTTGACTTGCTTCTTAAACTTCTCTATTTTTCATTCTTGTCACATTAAATCAGGTACTTCTTTTTATCTTAGCTAGTTCATATGTAGTAAAGCCCAGTTGCTAAGGGATTATGAATTGTTATGGGTAGTGGCACCTGAATGAATCCTAAGGACAATTAAAATGAATTTGTCTCTTTCTATAAATAAAATCTTCGTTCCGACTGCTTTTAAGTTGGACATTCAAACTGCCAATTTCTATTCAGAGTCAAATCGCTTTGGTTCAATTACCAATAAAGCTTTGAATATGGGACACAGTTGCGTAATTGCAAACCATTTTACGTTTATATTGTTGATAAAGACCTACTAAAAAACTGACATCGTTTGTCACATATCGATTGACATTCTCACTGGTATAACTCAATCTAGTCCCTGATTCAAATCTCACCGTTGGACTCCATTCGCTTTTAATATCTTTTACATTGTTAATAACCATATCAACAAGTTCAATATTGTATCGTTGTAAATGGTCAATCACAAGTTAGAAACTATCACCATTGGATGCCGGCTCAGTGGTCCAGTTGGTTAAGCGTTCGCGCGCGAGACCGAAGGCCCTGGGTTCGAATCCCGCGGGCGGGATCATGGATGCGCACTGCTGAGGAGTCCCACGATAGGACGAAATGGCCGTCCAGTGCCTCAAGGTTTCCAATTGTGGTGGTCTAACATCAATCGGTTCATGATCTCAATCAAAAACTAAGCAGTCAAGTGTTTAATATTTACTGATTTTCAGTAGTTCTTTAGCATTTAATATTTTATTATAAATTTTAACCTTGAACGATAGTTATCAGTGTCACAATAAATAATCAACTGTTATTACTTTCATAACTGTAATCTAATGATAAAAAAAACTTATTTTATCATACTGTCGATCCGATACAAAGTTTTTACTATCTTGGAACTTCACATATTCCGATTGATCAAAACATAAAATTGAATAATTCTGTATCAACCACCATATTTTAATTTTATTACCATAAGTAAAAACAGGAGTGATTACATAATATGTTAAGTAGGTTAAACATGAACGATTCAAAACGACAAATTGATTACCCTCATGAAATGGATTTATCCAGAAAGAAACGTAGAATATTAGTTGATTGTTATGTTACGAGATTAGAATATAAGTTTATGATATGGATTTACTACTTTAATCAGCCCCTCCCCCCATATCTGTTTTTGAAAGCATGACCAAATAAACTTAAGTTAACTATAGTAATTTAAAGATTTAATCATACTTCACCTAGCATTTTTCGTCAACTATATAAACAGACTCATTTTACCATATCAAGCAAATATTTTCATTAGTACAAGAGGCTTGTGGAGACCTGAATTTTATAGTTTACACCACGAACCAAATTTAGATAGGTAGCCATTATATGCTCACCAGCAGCTAGTTTCTAGAGGCCATTCCTGGAATTCCAGTGCTAAGCCATACCCAGTGGAGTTCAACCAAGTCAGATGTGAGCCCGACTTGATTGGACTCAAGTAGATACACAATAACGGCTTTGAAAGTTGGTTACGAATTATAGCGAATCGTTTAGAGTTTTTAAAAAAGCAAATTACTTTATGCCAACTTATTAGTCCAAACGTTAAAGGTCCACCTTAAGACTGAAGTTTATGGGTTGGATACCAGATGTGGTCATGGATGCGCACCGCTAAGGTCTCCCATATTAAGACGACAGTTGTCCAACGCTTTCTGTTTTTTAATGGCTGTCTGATTAATTAGGATTAGTTTGTGATGCAAACATGAAAAAAAAGCATTTTCACTAAGAAATAAGTAGATTAAACGAATTATTTTTTGTAATAAGGTATTTATTTTTAGCTCTATGAAAAGGATGAATAACAAGTAGAAAGAGCTGGAAAGGATTGCCCAAGACAGGGTTGAATAGAGAATGCTGTTGAGCGGCCTATGCTCCTTCACGAGGAGTAACATGCGTAAGTAAAGTAAGTCTACAACAATCTATATGTTTTACAGTCAATAACCACAAAGCGATACCATCAAGTGGTGATGAGTTAGTTGGTTAGTTAAAATTAGAAAAATAATGATATCAAAACATTAAAATTCTGTTTACTCATAGTTATTAAAATAAAAATTTCTCTTATTAGCCAATTTCACTCTCTTTTGGATATCTAATTTGAAATTGTTATAATTGTCCATCTTTTTTTAGAAACGCTACATTCGTTATCATGGTGTGTTCTCCACACAAATTAACATCAAGCCAATGTTGCAAACCTTGTTGTTAATAAAATTCTATACATCACAGAACTCATTGCTGTTATTATTAAACTAAGTAGCAATTCAAATAGTTGTAATCGTTGTCAGGTATCTGTGAGTAATAGATTAAAACATCTTTAATTTATATATATATCAGTTACTATTAACCGATAAAATGAACGGCATTTATAAAACAATTTCTTTGAACGTCTTCTCTTTTTGCCTATTGTTTGTTGATGGGTATTTTTTTTGAAAAGTGAAATGTTATTTGATACACACTAGTCCATAAATTTATTGTCCATTTGTTCTACTTCCTGATAAGTACTGTCCACTTTAAGTCAGTCTTTGGTTTCTCTGGAACTCAAACAGACTAGTGAAATCATTTTTTCGAGTTCTATTGAGGGAACATAACAGGGGGGTTAGTAACAAAAAAGGTTTTTTAACAGATTAGTAATCATACGTGAGAATTAAATTTTCTCAACAGCCTTTTTTTGTGGAAAGCTGCACATTCGTAGATCTATGATATTAATTGATATTATTATCAGAAGGGGTTCTGCGAAGATCGTAGTAATTTCAACAGTTGAGATCATGAGTCAATTGAAGCTAGATTACCATGGAAAACCTCGAAGTACTGGACTACCGTTTCGTCCTACTGTGGGACTACTCAGCAGTGCGCATCTACGATCTCGCCTCATGAGATTCGAACCCAGGACCTATCAGTCTCACGCGCGAGCGCTTGACCACTAGACCACTAAACCGGCATCCAACGGTGTTAATGTCTAACTTTAACTAATCCACGAAATTGAACGACATATCCATCATTGTTATCAGTGAGTTACTATCTCACAACAGATCTAGTTGAACTCCACTGGTCACTTCTTCTCACTAGAACTTTATTACAGTCCATTCAAACCTACCTTTTACAAATATCGATAAAACATTAAACGCTGATTGAGAAGTTTGGAAATTTTTTATAACATATAAAATCAGCATTCGCCAAAACACACGACCTATTAAGTATTCAGTTATCCAGCTTCGTATTAACAAGGTTTATGTTAGATATCACTTGTTCAATATTACAGGTTGTGATTGATAAATCTTCTGATTGAACGCTTGAATCGGTTTCCTAAGCTCTTGTAATAACCCCAGGCTATCTCTACACGACAACTTGAACATTAGAGAAAAGGCGAGTAGTAAGGAAAGAAGGCTTTACTCCAAGATTAGTTTATGTTCAGAAAATTGAGGGTATTTGTAACATTTCAGGCAACTTCTGTAACCCTACCAAACATAGTAGCAGGAAGGGCAGTCACCCAATCAGAAATATAACACGTGACTTTGCACATTCTAGATGTTTTTGAGAAAGTTCTATTCAATGCTGATTGTTTAAAATGTTTCTCAGCGTTTTTGGGGCCTATTAAGGCTTTTTTCAAGGAATTTTCTAGGTCTCTCCAACAATTATCTCATATGCAAAAATGTTGTAGTTTATAAACTCTTAAAATTGAGCTAAAGATTTGAGAATAACTCATCTGTTCGAAAAATACAAATTTAACAATATACAAACAGTTTTTAATTTATCTATTCAGATTACAATATCTTGAATAGAGTAAATCATCCTTTTATAAACAAGTAAACTCAAGTCTAGATGAATATTTCTAACATACTTGTAGTGAGACCTATTTTTCAACAGATGAAAGTTATCACAGCTTTTCTTTCCAATGAATAATTCACTTCACTAATCAACTAAATAAGAATCAACCTAATGAATCTTTAAATAATAATAGTATTAAAACTTAAAATAATTAGTCCCTTTGATAAATTTCGACAATGCAATAACATGACGATAAACTTCGTTTTCTCATTGCATTATCGAGTATTGAAACTATTGTAAATTTGCCATTCGAAAGTCATTCCATTATTTGGTTAACTTTAATTATGAAATATTATGAAAATGATTGATAGAATTTCATATTATAACTCTAAACTAAGTAAACTGGTTTATTTTGTTTATGTTCCAGTCAGTCAGTGGAAACTTTATCTATTAATATTTAAGAACATGATATAAGTAAATATCATGTCATAATAATTTTTTTCTGGTTAGTGTTTTTTTAGTGAGTTAGTTTTCTACGGGATGGGGTCGCTAACCCCATGCTCAACCCTCCTCCTTTATTCGACCTTGGGACCGGCAGTAGCTCCCAGAGGGACTCCAGGCAAAGAACACATTACGCCGGGAAATAGAGATAGACATGAGAAAAATGAACAAGAATTGGATGGAACTAGAAAAGAAGGCCCAGGGCAGAGTGGGTTGGAGAATGTTGGTCGGCGGCCTATACTTCATTAAGAGTAACAGGCGTAAGTAAGTAAAGTAAGTATGTCATAATAACAGATTACTTCATTATTAATCATAATTATAATTAATGATATAAAGTAATAACTCAATGATAAAATTAAAAGAAACAATTACAAAGAATGAAAACAATCATTCATGTTAATATTGATCCTTTTCAATTGAAGGAATGAAATGAAATGATTTGTTTAAATTAATCATTATATAATTGAAATGTATTAATGATCATCATGGATCATATTATGTAATTTATGATGACTTCAACTATTATTAACAATATCACTAATATTTATCAAATTCGATATTACTTTATATTAAAAAAAACCTTTTTTTCATAATTACTAATCGTAATAACGAGTAGTAATATTCATTACTCAATATGAATCATAATAATGACCATTTAAATGATGATAATGACAATAATATGAATAAGATCTTAGATCAGGATCTGAATTTAAAATTGGTTCCTTTGAATCAGTTGAAATATGAATTGAATTACTAGTTTCTAATGGAGTAATAAAATTTATTTCTTCATTATTAATTAATTGTAATTTTGTCTTGTTCATCGAATGTTCATGATTCATTGATTCATTTAACTGATTATTATCATTATTTTCATTATAATGAGTAGGTAAATAAGGAATTGTTAAACTATATTCATTCATTTCATATTGTTCACAATCATATACAACATTTTCATATTCATACAATTTATTATTTAATAGATCATTTTGAGATTTTAATAATTCTGTACAATTTGATGAACAATTTCCTAGAGATTGACTAACATTTGAAATTGATGTAGACTGATTAGTTGGTATGGTCAATGAAACATTATTTGAATAATAATAATAATAATCTAAATGGTTCATTAATTGTTCATCGGTCAATTTATTTTGTAATAAATTTGACCTTATAACATTTTGTTGAATTTTTTTTGTATAATTAACATCATCATCATCATCATCAATTGGTGATGATGAAATGGATGATGACGATTTGTAAGAATGATCATATGGTAACTTATTTTCATTACTATCAGATACATGATGCTTCATTAATCTAGAAGGATCAATTTGTAAAGCAGCTGCAATCTGATTAGTCGTTATCTGTGACAAACCATGACATAAATATTTTATAATATCTGTTATCGATTCAAAGTGTATATCATTTAATATTGAAGCTAAAAGACCAATGTAATTACAAGCTAAACGAAGCGTTTCAATTTTACTTAATTTTTGACCAAATTGATGAAAATTATTCACATTATTATTGTTGTTTATTTGATCTATTGGATTGTTGGTTTGATGATTTTTCGAGAATAATTTATTACTTTCATTTTGTTTTTGATTTGTATGAGTAGTACAGATAGTTGTGTCATCTTTTTTATCAAGATCAAAGGAAATATATCCACCGAATAAAGCAGATGGTATGTGTTGTCTTAAGGCATCTAATGCTGAATTTAATCCATGCATTCGGCTACGTTCACGTGCATTAGCTCTAGCTCGTCTCATTTTCATTCTAACAACACGTTCTTGTGAATCTGGCTTCTTTTTAGGACCACGACGTCTTATACCAGTTGGGACAACTAATGAGGGTTCAATAAAACATTGCGAACTAACATTGTCAGATGTAGTGCATTTCTGATGTTTTTTCGTTACATAAGAACGTTGAACATTCTTAGTTGAAATAAATGAATGATCCTGTTGCTTCAATTCTTCATGCATAAAGTTTGCTGAGTTTGAATGAAATAAATCTGTATGAATTTCATGGTTGTTTGGAAAAAAAGTTATTGGGTTTAAGTTATCATTTGTAACATTGAATGAGGAATTTTTTGAATGTTCAGTAAACATAACTGTTTGGTCAAAACTAGACCAGTTATGTGAGTTCATCACCTTTTTTTACTGTTGTGGTCTTGAAAAGAATAAAATTGAAAAAAAACTGCCTGTAATATTAAGAATAACTGCTTAAGAGGAATAAGAATAATGAATTTAATTTTACAAGGTCATGATAAATTGCATGTAGTGTGCCCACTCGATGTGAAATTTAAAAGTGCTGGGTTCAATCTAGTAGACCCATGTTCTCTGGTTCTCAATGGTCTTCCATTTCAAGTTTATTTAAGGCATAAACTACCTTTAAAATAAACTGTAAATTTACTTGCTAATTTGGCCTTGCTGCTCAGGACAGAGTTCCATGGAGAATTCTGGCGGGCGGCTTGTGTTCCTTCCCGAGAGGCAGCAGGCTTAAGTATTCAAGTAAGTACTTTGGCCTTGTACTATTGTGAGTTGTAGGAGGCTTATGTCATTCTGATTCTATTTGTGTTCTTACATTTCCAAAATTAGGCTGTCAGAAAATAATGCTTAGATCTGTGTAAAGTGAAACAAACAAGAAGGCTCATTACATTTCTATTTAAAGTATACACGTTACGATAAATTGATCAAAGAACGAATAAGATTTGGTCATTTTTGTTGGTGGAACCCAACTGTGGAATTTGTCGGCAACTTCAGACAACAACTTCATTATTAAATGCAAATTAAATTGAAACAGCAAAAAGAAAATAACACTATATAAGAAAAAAATAGTTTGATCCTAAGTCGTTGTGAAAATCATTTAACTGTAGAATGTTTTAATTTATATTGATATACTTCAATGTTGCTATTTGTCTATGAACATGTTTTTTGTTGAGAAGTTCTAATGTAAAAAGCAGTTTAATATTGGTAATACCTAGATCATTTAAAATCAATAAATATAATATGGGCTTAATTTTAAAACTGATAATCATCTACAAAGTTAATGGTTACATCACTAGAGATTATGATCCGAAATTAATGTTTAGATATTAACTAAACAATGAACGTAATAAATAAGTTACATTTCATAAGCTTTTATTCAATTGTAAAAATGTTCTAATGACATATCTTCTAAGTTTATATCAGTAAAATATTCATAACGAGAATTGTGACTATATCATTATAAAGACATACAGTTGAAGAGGATAATGTAATTGAAATTTATCTCGTTAACTCCAAATATTCTCCAACATTTTCAATATCTTAACTCAGAGAGGTAACATCATGTGTATCCATCAAATGCCCTGGTACGCCCGAGGGTGGGGAAAGTTAGCTTTCCCTCTTTAAATGATCTCACACGGCCAGGGAAGTCCTATTCACTGCCTTCTCACGGCATTGTTGTTGTTTAGGAAGTTAAGAGGATGAAAAGCGAATATCCGGCGCTTTAACCGGGTTGGTGGATATGGAGGTTCCACCTAGGGGAGTTGGAAAACTTTGATTCCAAGCCGATGGTGCACATGAGCTCCAGGATCCTGAAGGAACAAAATGTTGGACCAGTGTGAACCAATTATTGGTCACTGGCTACCATGGGAGTGCATCTTCTCACGTTATTCCACTGCCCTGTGGATAAGACCTTTAAGTCGAAGGATCAGGGCGTGGCCCCTAAGGAAACCACCTGGCTTGGTTTAGGCGCCCGGGCGTTATCAAAGCCCACACAGAAATCAAGTGACTTGTGTGGCGCATATGTATCCTGTGCCCCTTTGTACCAATATTCATGTGTTCAGATAAATAAATAAATAAAATAATAAGTTCCAGAAAACCTACAAAATTATTTTATTTTTTCCATTCTGTTTAACTTCTCGATTAGTTAAATTAAAAACATATAATCTTTTGACTATACTAATTTCTTATTTTCTAAATAACATCAATTGGTATGTAATAGGCTGAAATATTTGATTTATAGTCAAGAAATACTTCTTTGTATGATAGTAAAATAATATTTAAGAAAAGTGGATATCTAACTGATATCAAACCTACAATGATAAGAGGTCAGATCATTCTAACTAAATGGCAATTTTAACAGTTGGACTCATGAATTAATCTAAGCTAAACCACCATTGAAAACCTGAAAGCACTGGACGGCCATTTCATCCTAGTATGGGACTTCTCAGTAGTGTATATCCATGATCTCAAACGCGGAACTCGAGCCCATGACCTTTTGCTTCTCACGTGAACGCTTAACTTGTAGACCACTGAGCCGGCATTCATCAGCGTTAATGTCTAACTTCACTCGATTCATGATCTTGAGCAATCCCTTATCCAGTGACTCATCAATTTAACTGTTAAAATTACTACAATTTTTTATAAATCCCCATTCTGATAAATGGTAATTCCAAATATTATTTTGAATTTCGTACGCTATATCCTTTAAAGGATAAAATTACTGATGACATTTTATTTTGGAAAATCATTTATGTGGCTATAGAACGACATACAAATTTTTAATAAGTCATAATCTGTCAAGAGACTATGAATTTATATTGGTTAGGGCCAGTAACACTAATCGTTTCCGTTAATGATCTAATATTTGAATCATTGTTTAACTGATTACGTAATCTGTCAATAAGTTGTAAAAAACAAACTTCAGTTTCATGAATAACTAGTCATGTTCTTTCATGATTTCAACAATATATTCTTTGTTTATGTTTACGAAATTATTGTCTTAATAAAGGTTAAATAGTGTCAGCTTCAGATTGATCATTTTAAAATCAATAGATAAACAAAATTTACTGTCGATTGTGTATGATTTCATCATTTAGTTTTATTTCATTTAATATTTGTGTTTTCTACTGTCCTACATATATAGCAGATAACAATAATGACGAGTAATAAGTGTCCGACCGTTGCCTATCGTGATGAACCGACAGGGCTATATTGGCCGGAACAATCGTTCCTCAAGGTCCTACCATGCCAGAAAGTTCGATTGAAGAGCAGTAAGATTAAAAGCAACAAACCTAAGGTCCGAAGGCGAAGTCGTACTGCTGACTGTACAGAGGTGTGACAGCAGTAAGGTGTTTCCTTCAGACAACCAACATGACAGCGATGCTGCCTTCCCACAAAGAAGGGAGGGGTTAGAAAAGATCGACACTGAGAATGCACACCTCGCCTTATCCCACGGATATCCGTCTCCGACCGTAAGGTCCCAACAAGTACGGATCTAACACGAAAGTTACTCACAAAACGGTCGTGTGTGACTGACCTCTAGCACTTGTGCCTTGGGTACTGCGGTCACGCTCTCAAGTCACTAAGACTACCCATAACTGAATTTCCTTTTTCAGGCACCTCTAGAAAAATTCTTTCACGGTTTGGGCAACCGGGAAGTGATAACCTCCTTCATACTTTTAACAGCACTCAAGACTGACAAGTAATAAGTTCCGAATAACTTCTTTACTGCAGTCAGTCAATAAAAACTTCACATTATATTTTAATTTGATTACTTTATTCAAAACATGTTTCAAGTTTATACTACTTTAAAACCGAATTAGGTCAGTCTCTTTTAACGTATGTGTACTCTAAACAGATTTGTTGATACGGTTGTGTGATTATAAGTTTTAGCATATTTCTCGAATTGTAATTAATAATGCGATCCAAGATGTACGTACTATACACGACCTTAAAAATAATATTATAACCATTGAATAATCATTTGACATTTCATTGTTGATTTTCATACTGAAACTCATACCTTTCAAACACCAATGTATTATCCACAAAGTTACTGAATACAGATACCTATGGATGTCACAACAAAAGCCAGTTGATTCAGTCGTGTATAACAAAATTTTGAAACATAATGGTTTAATAAATAAATCTATGAATAAATATGATTATCTTAATAGGTAGTAATTTTATGTTCGAATCTCTGGATACCTGAACATTAATGATAAAAATAGTATGACATTGGTTGAACTATTAGTAAGTAAGAATGAATCATATAAAGTTATACATAATTAGGTAACTGATGAAATTCAGTATTCTATATGATCTGAGCAATAGAGAATGAATTTAGGAGATCGGAGACATAAAGATAGACAATTAGTCAGGGGTAAGATAACTTACTAAAATATAATTCTTTCAGTTCCTATACTTCTTAATACGACGTACAGAAATGGATAACAATAGTAAACGGGTACTAGTATGAAAATTGGAAAATACGCACATAGGTTGAGAATAATTATAAAAGAAAGTAAACAAAAGTTCAAGATTTGTAGCCCAATGTATATGAACCAATAGTTATTGATAACCTAACTTCATGTCATATCTTTATCAATTCAATAATGATCATGTATTTATTTAATTCTTTTTAAGTTAACATGAAATTTCATGTAGCCGTTGAATATGTTTAACCTCATTAATTGCCCCCTATTATATGCAACAAATAAATCCAAACATGGTTTTCTCTCAAGATACTTTAATTGAAAACTATTAAAATATACCAGTGTTACGTCCTAAGCAAGTGGAATGTCTAGGTATTATGTAAACCCGTTAGCAAGTTACATGTCAAAAATTCCTCTTACTACATGGTAGTATTTACTAAATAGTACAATGAATTGATTCAATAAAAACAATGTTATCACTGAATCATATGGCATTAAAAAATTACCATGATTCTTTAAAGTTCAAATCATTAACATTTGAATAAACTTCATAATTGTTATCTAGATATTTAGATTACTTAGTAATAAGCATAGTGTTGATTTTTAACATTCAAGTTTCCCAATTATACTGAAAAAGGTAATGCTACGCACACAATGTCGATTCACCTAGACTAGTGGCCACATTGCAACTTAGTCGATAGGGTTCGATCTGCACTAATAAGGACCTGAAATACATGACATTGATCACCACCTAACCAATTGTAAATACATCTCACTCCTACAGGAGTTCAGTCGCTGCCCGGATAGATCAGTGGTAACGTCTCTGACTATGAAGCTGGGTGACACGGGGTTGAATCCATCAGGGAGCATCAGTTCTCTCAAGATTACAGGTACTCCATACTGACGAGTGCCAAGTGGCACGAAACCTATGTCCAAGGTTTCCTA